ACTGCAAAGTTTAACACCCAGCAATGCACTCCTGTAAAAATACTGATGCATGCAGATGTTCTTGATAAAATAATTAGCAGCCATTGCTAATGCACAAATGTAAAGAAGAACATTTTCCTGTGGCTCCTCTGCTGAAATTAATGCTGAAACAACAAATCCAAGAAACAAGGGTTGAAGAATGCGACAAACTGAATCCAAAAACCCAGTCAAGACAATGATGAAAGCTTCTTTTACAGACACTGTTTTAATGACGCTTCTCCAGAGCTTCGGTTTTTTGCCGTCACGTTTGCAGCTTGCTTTCTCGTCATTCCATTTTGTTTGGAGCTTTTCTGTCGCTGGACGGGTTTGGTTTTCTTTGGAAAGCGGCACAAAATCATCGTTTTCTAAAGTTCGTTCACTGCCTATCTTGACGACTTCATTCATCCATTGAAAGAAAAGGGGGGATAAAATATTTAAATTGTCTTTACTGTCTCTGTCGATGATCTTTTTGTATCCACTTCTTTTCATGGCTCAGAATCTAATGAAGATAAAAAAAAATGACTTCATTGATTTGGTAAATAGACACTGAACTGAGGACACAAACAAGGCTTTGATGGTCTCTAGCCTTGTTTGCATCGTCGAATTCCTCGTATCTTATAAGGTTTCCAACTGTTTTTAAATCTCACTGGTAAAGCTCAACCTTTCCTATACACAGGCCTTTTTGTTTCCTCTAGCATCGTCGAGGGCTCGAAAAAAATAACCCTAACCCTAAAAAAAATTATAACAGCGGGGCACTGAGTGGCAGCGAATGCATTAGGGTAATCAGTCGCCTTTGCGCTCCGTTTCTGTCCGCGCTCGCTTCGCTTCATTGAGAGAAAAAAAAAAACGAAACTGCTCTGGACATATGGGTGCGTTCTTTTGGGGTGATGTGGATCAGGATCAGTGATTCAAGATCACTTGGATCGTGGTGCATCAAAGGAACCGATGAATCCGTGACCAGAGTGGATTCATCGGTTCCTTTGATGCGCCATGATCCGAGTGATCTTGGATCACTGATCCTGATCCTGATCACCCCAAAGGGACGCACCCTCAGACTAGGATTTGCCATCTTCTTGTCTCGGTTTTAACTAAATTTAAAAATACGTTGCCACTTTAAACGTGTTTTTTCTCTCTTTTCTCGTCACGTTAGATTTAAGCACATTGACGCTTCTCGACTAACGATGTCCCGTTCTCGACCGACTGACAAACCCCCCACCCCCACCCCCTCCATGAACATCAGTATGGATAATGATCTATGCTTGTGCTTCGTTCATTTGTTGACAATTCTGGATTAACACGTGCAAAACATAATTAAGTTTTAACTGTTTACAAATGTTGCACGTCTCACTTGACTGATCTTTCGGCGTAGAAAAGGAC